AAAAAAAAACATTTCCTCAACTTTAATGGAAATATTTTGCTCTCAAATAAAGATGAAAAGTATAATAATAGGGGATTCAATTAGGCCTGTAAGATAAAACAATAATTCTGAGAGAAAATGACCGATCAGGTCATATCTAGCACATTATGTCACGATAATTAAAAGCTTAACATGATAGATCGAAAAAAAAGTTTGTAGAATTCATCAAAAATATAATTAGCGTTAGCCAATAATTATTATCCCTAAAATGACAACTTATTCTATAGTATCTAGAAAGATTTTCTTTCCCAATTATTAAGTTTATTGATCACAACCTCAAAGTTTTTTTTTCCCCACCCGGTGTCCGGTACTTGTATTGGGGCCTGACTAAATTCGGATTCGTTCCGAAAAGTCCCATATTGGAGGGGTAAAGTGTTCCGTAATAAAGGTAACTCCATATCCAGGGGTCGAACGTGAGATCTCTGATTAAGAATGAAAAAATACTTACACCTCTACCACAACGCTTGTTTGTAAAATTTTAAGTTGTTAATAATGAAACTCATAGTAAAACAAAATTTATTTTTTCAATTCTTTGGCTAGAATAAAAATAAAATAATTAACATCTACCTATACCTGATTCCACTTCAAAATACTATCTAACACGACTAAATTTGATACCTAACAGAGGTCATTCATATCTGTTGATGTCACACGAAATGATCAGTTGATCTCACCATTTGTACAGCTTAATTATAAGTTGGTTTGCATCTAATTAATTAAACTAACAATTATTAATAATTAATTATTGAATTGCTGGCAGTGGCAACTTCAGCCAGTCTTTTAAATTATTATATTATGATTGTTGGTACAAGTTATATGCTGTTGTTGATCTCAATGCTTAAACTTAAAAGGAAAAGGGGAACTTATGGAAAAGTAAAGAAAAAGAAAATGCCGGCGCCACACTACAATTGGCTAAATGCTACGTGATAGATCCCCCGCCCAAACCCCACCCCACACCCCCCAATATTGTTTTTCGCTGCACAAAGTTATAGGATTTATAGGAAATAGTCTCGTTACCTTCACAAAGTAGGGGTAAGCTCAATGTACACGCTACCTTCCTTAAATCTTCGACTCAGACAAGCACAATCACAACAGTAAAGTAAATTAAAATATAAAAATAGTAAAAAGTTATAGAAAAAGAAATAGTAGCAACAACGAGAAAGTAATTAACCGAAGCACAAACAACATCAGATAATACTAGAAATCTAACAAAAAGATAAAACAAGAGTAATACTGCAATTACTGGAATAGAAGGAAAGTACGCTCTACTACTTGTATGGGTCAAAATCTATCCTTAGAATACTTAAGTCAATATAGTATTGGTGGAACGTTCCCAGCTGTCGCTTGCCGAAGTAATCCAAGAAACGGTGAAGTCCGTGGTTGAAGAGTCAATAAGGGCTGAAGCCAAGGAGTCATCAAGGATCAAGGCCAAGGTCGAGCACCCTTGACAGAGTTATAACGCCTAGTTTTAAGATAGGACAGAAAAGAGAATATTCTAGTGGATATTCTCTGCACTTGTACTGTTAGGGTTTTTAGGAACATGTTCCCTATAAATAGAAAAATATACAATGATAGGAGACATGCGTTATTCATTTGTAAAATATACTTTGACTTTAAATGAGAGACTGAGATCTTATTGCAAGCATACAAATACAATTTTTTCATTAAGATTTTTGTCTACACTTTTTCACTGGATCCGATAATAACTCAGATATTCAAAGGATTGTCCATCACTCATCATTGTCAGAAAGAGTATTCACTGATTCCATCCTTTCTTGGGTGACTCATTCGTTTTATTTATTTAGTGTCATTTATTGCTATTCATCAATATCTAATGCTACATTATTTCCTTTGACTTCTTAAATATCAGTTGTGTGTTGTCGCTGCTATTATTTCAACGTAGTATTTATTGCACTTATGAGAACTTCATCTTTCTGATATTATTGTTAACTAAGATTAGCCCTCATTTATATAAATTTAATTAGTTGAACCAAGATCTATATTTTTTTGTCAAACAATTTGGCGCCGTTTATGGGAATTTCTTAGTTAAATTTTTAGTTTCCTCTAGATCTATAGCTAACGCAAGTCACTAACATCACAAACCCTCCTTTCTTCGTATGCACAAAAACCTACACGGCAGGTAACCAAGGAGAAAGGACAAAAATAAGGAGTGATTTCCCTAGCAACCTCATGAATGTTATCAACAAGAGCTGCGAAACAGTAGGCGAGGACATGACACCCAACACGTCCCCTAGGCGCGAGAGGTCGCCTCTCCCCACTACAGCATAACAAAACTCAGTGGAAAAGGGGACCCCACATCTGCGAAAGAAGGGACGCCCCCAGCTGTGAAAAACTCCTCGAAGCATGGCTGACCGACACGCTACTAAGCGTCCTCAACAAACCCGCTCCAGACATGACTACAGAAAACACAAGAGCCTTCATGATACAACAAACAAATGAGCAGTGCAGCCGACCAAGCCCTCCGGCGACAAGTATAACTCACAAGATTACTAACAGTGTAGGTGATAGCGCCCTTGCTGCCGTCCTAAAGAGGATGGAAGAAATGGAGAATGAAAACAAAGCACTCCAAGATCAGATGAAAGAACACAAAGAACGAGTCGATAAGATACCGGGCGCTCCTAAGCTGTTGCCAAAAATGGATGCTGGCAGGTTCATAGAGCAATCGTATAGAGATGACGCAGCCCCGCATGCCATACCAAAGACCTTCAAAATCCCGCCATACCTCAGGATATATGATGGAACAAATGATCCTGTGGATCATGTTACTCATTACGTTACCCCCGTGAAAGGAAGCAAACTTGCCATGGAACTGGTGTCCTCTATTTTGCTGAAGAGGTTTGGCGAAACCTTTACGGGAGTGGCATTAACATGGTATTCACAGCTACTAGCCCGCTCCATAGAAACTTTCAAGAAATTGGCCGATAAGTTTGTAACTGCTTATACCGGAGCCAAGAAGGTCGAAGCAAGAGTAAACGACATATACACTATCAAGCAGTCCTTGGGAGAGGGACTAAGGGACTTCCTCGTCCGATTCAACAGAGTAAGGATGACTCTGCCAAACGTATCCGAAGGGATGGCGGCCGCAGCTTTCCAGAACGGGTTGAGTAGAGATGGTTCAAGAGTGACCAAAAAATTGTTGAGCCGATTGATGAAATATCCCCTAACCACTTGGGACGAAATCCATAATGCTTATTACGCCGAGGTTTGAGCAGACGAAGACGACCTCAACGGACCAACTCACTGGCTAACATCGGTACAAACTGAATCCATAAAGGAACAAAGAGACAACATCAGGATGGATTACCCGGTTCCGCGACCCAACAGGGAACGACCACCACCCATATCTCAGGACGGCTGTCGCACCTTCCCCCGCTATGAAGAAGGCCTATCCAGGCCAAGGACATGGACTCACCGGGACGAGATAGGTATTCCCTTTTTACTATCTGCTCACAATATTTGTGTGTCATATACAGAAATAGTCTATGCTCTTGAGAAACTCGTAACAAAGATGAAGTGGCCGCCGAAGATGGGATTAGACCCGAATACCAAGAAATCTGACGCCTTCTGTGAATTCCACCTAGAACGTGGGCACAAAACAGAAGAACGCATCGCCTTCAGACAAGAAGTCGTAAACATGTTACAGCAAGGGCACCTCAAAGAGTTGTTAAGCGATAACAAGAGAATCAACTTCGCCAGAGGACGTGAACATCAAGGCCCACTGAAGCCGCCATCGCCGGCTCATACTATCAACATGATCATCAGCAGCGACGCCGCCTCTATCAACAACGTGAAGTTCATCACCACTCACAAGCTCAAGCGATCTATCACCCGCGAACGGTACAACAGACTTGAAAAAAGTATCATCTTCGACGAGTCGGATGCCGACAATTTGACTTTTCCTCATAATTATTCCCTTGTTATTACTTTACGCATTTTAGAGACCGATGTCAAATGTATCATGGTGGACGATGGAAGTGTAGCATGCATTAGCCATCCCTGAGTCCTTAATCAAATGGACTCGAGGATAAGATAGTGGTGCGCTGCATTGTGCTAACCGATTTTAATAACATAGTTGAGCGGACATCCGGGGAAATTACACTCCCTATCTTGGCCGGCGACGTGACTCTGGAGACGACATTCCACATCATGGACCAAGCCACCGCGTACAACGCCATAGTGGGACGACCATGGATACATCCTATGAGATCCATCATCTCCAGCCTATACCAAGTAATTGAATTCGCAACACCACGGGGAATACCATACGCGGAGAATAACAGATGTCACGGGAATGCTACCGCATTTCCTTAGACAGCACGGATACCCAACAGAAAAAAGACAAGGAAAAAGAGGCATATCAATCTACAGGGCCGAGGTCGACGCAAGAATAGACCGGGGATGTCATCATGGATCCCGAAACTGTTGAGGCTGCAAACTCAACCATAGAAGACCCTTATATTGTCTGCAAACTCCGGGAGCTAGGTAAATTCAGTCAATTCTTAATAACTAACACAAATTTGTTTGCCTTTAGCCATTCAGATATGCTGGTCATCCCAAGGGAAATCGCCACACATAAATTAAACGTCGACCCGTTCTACCCCCCAGTAAGATCGGTCAGGCATAAATTCAACTCTGTCATCAATGATGCGGTATGCGAGGAGGTAGAAAAGCTATTAGAGAACGGCTTCATCAAGGAGTCGAAGTACCCTAAGTGGATCGCCAACGTAGTGATGGTCAAAAAGAAAAATAGGAAATGGCGGATGTGCGTGGATTTCATAGATTTGAACAAAGCATATCCGAAGGATTCGTTCCCATTACACCACATTGACCTACTCATCGACGCAACAGCCGGGCACGAACTATTGAGTTTCTTGGATGCTTACTCAGGCTATAACCAAATTCTTATGGAGGAAGAAGACCAGGATAAGACCACGTTCATCACCTACCAAGGAACGTATTGTTATAGGGTCATGTCGTTTGGGCTGAAGAACGCGGGGGCTGCATATCAAAGATTGGTGAGAAAGTTGTTCAAAGACCATCTCGACAAGACTATGGAGGTATATATATATGACATGTTGGTCAAGTACGAAAAGGCAGAGGATCTCATCGATCATTTGAAAGAAACTTTCGACATAATAAGACGGTACAAAATGAAGCTGAACCCGGAGAAATGCGCGTTTGGCGTAGCCTCGGGAAGGTTCTTGGGTTTTTGGTGTCGCAATAACGTATCGAGGTCAACCTAGACCAAATCAAAGCTATAGAAGGGATACCGGAGCTCTTGACTACCAAGAATCAAGTCCAAAGGTTTACTGGATGAATCGCCACCCTTTCAAGATTTATCTCGATGTAGTATGATAGATGTCACAAGTTTTTTGGCGTACTCAAAAAAGGACAATGGCCTCGAATGGACTCCCGAGTGCATCCAAGATCTGTGAGAACTGAAGGCATACCTATCATTACTACCCCTGCTTTCAAAACCCAAACCTGATGAGGAGCTTCTCGTCTATCTAGCTGTCTCTAAAGTAGCGGTAAGCGTAGTGTTGATCCATGAATATAAACGTACACAATGTCCCATCTATTACATTAGCAAAATAATTATTGACGCCGAGACGAGGTATCCGCACCTAAAAAAATGGCTCTGGCCTTAGTCGTAGCTTCACGAAAGCTTAGACCCTATTTCCAGTGCCACCATATCTCGGTCGTCACAACCTTTCCCCTGAGGAGCATTTTGCATAAACTCAAACTATCGGAGAGGCTGGCCAAGTGGGATATTGAGCTAAGCAAGCATAATATCACACACCATCCACAAAACAACGATAAAGTCACAGGTGCTCGCCGATTTTGTCGCCGACTTCAGTGCAAAAATAATACGTGAAGTCGAAAGGGAAGTGGTCTAAGCTTATCTCCAAACACAAGATCTCAGGGGCCTGTACACCGATGGCGGATCCAATGCATCAAGGTCCGGACTGGGACTCGTACTAGAGGTCCATACATGCGAAGTAATTCGCCAGTCCATAAGGTGCCCGGATATGACTAACAATGAGGCCGAGTATGAGGCCGTAATTGCAGGATTGAGGCTAGAACTCAAGTACGGGGCGAAACGGCTGAAACTCTGACTCAAGTACGGGGCGAAACGGCTGAAACACCGTTGCGATTCCCATTTCGTAGTCAACCAAGTCACAGGGACTTTCCAAATCAAGGAACAAAGCTTGCAAAAATACTAGACCATAATCTGCAAGCTATTACCTGAGTTCGACGAATGCCAGCTCAACCAGATCCCACGGGTGCAGAATGCCGAAGCAGACGACCTCGCTAAACTTGTCGCAACTACCAAAAGCATAGTAACTAGGGATAAAAGTGTAGTCCATCTACTCCACTCATCACTAGACCAAATTGAGGTAAGAACCATAAACCTATTTGCTGGATGACAAACTCCCACATAACAAGAAAAAAGCCAAGAACTAAGAATACAAGCGGCCATATAAAGTCTCCTTCATAGCGACCTATACAAAAGGACTTATGACGGCCCTCTAGCAAAATGTTTGGGCTCGAACCAAACCTAGCGCGTCCTCAAAGAAGTCCATGAAGGTCATTGATGCTGACTCCGGCAATCGAGCACTAGTTAGATGTCTCATACGGGCGGGATACTATTCACCCACCATAAAAAAAGACACTGCAGACTTCGTAAGGAAATGCGAACAGTGTCAAAAGTATGCCCCAATGATATACCAAGCAGGCGACCACCTTTACTCAGTCACCTCCTCTGGCCGTTCATCAAATGGGGAATGGACATCGTGCCCCCCCTAGTAGGGCGAGGTAATGTACGATTCCTTTTTATTTAACTAACTATTTCTCCAAATAGGTGGAAGCATGAGAATTTGCCAAAATACGGGAACAATGGGTAATCACCTTTATATGGAGAAACATCATCCACTGATTCGGCCTTCCCAAGGAGATCAGTTGTGACAACGAACCCTAGTTCATGGGAAAAAATACCATCGAATTCTTCGAAAAATGGCATATCAAAAGGATACTTTCAACCCCATATCACCCATGGGGTAACGGGAAAGCAGAGTCCTCCAACAAGTCCATACTGAACATCATGAAGAAAAAGCTCGAGGATGCCAAGGGACTGTGGTCGGAAATACTACCAGAAGTATTATGGGCCTACCAAACAACCCCGAAGACGAGCACATGAGACACGTTATACTCTTTGGTCTATGGGACTAAAGTAGTAATACAGGTCAAGGTCAGAGAACCCAGCCTAAGGTACTCCCACGAAAGCGGTATGAGTAACGATGAGAGCAGAAGGCAGGATCTCAACGAAATCGACAAACGAAGAGATATGGCGTACACAGGATGGTCGCCCAAAAAGAACAAGCAGAATAGTATTACAACAAGAAAGCAAAGGTCCGACCGCTTAAATTCGAGGACTACGTGCTGAAAGCCAAAACTCAAGTGAGCAAAGACCCCCAGGAAGGCAAGATGGTAACAACTTGGGATGATCCGTATAAAATTACAGCCAAAACGAACAAGGGTTCATTATAACTAGAGACAATGGAAGGAAAGGAACTACCAAATAATTGGAACATCATCCACCGATAATACTTTAGCTTTTGAGAGAAAAAGTGTCCCCCAAGTCGTACTCTTTTTCCCTCACTTGAGTTTTGTCCCATTTAGTTTTTCTCAAGGAGGTTTTTAACGAGGTGGCAAAGGGAACACTTCGAGTACAAGTACGCGAGGGAGGGACTGTTGTTACTCTTTCATTGCTTGACTCTTTAATACTCTCCAAGTCAAACAATGAAGGGACTAAGTACACCGGGACTGGAACACCAGCCAACACCCAAAATCTGTAACTTTCTCAAATTATGTAACCGAAGCAACAATTTCAAAGTAATAAGAAACTTACATTTATCGGGACACCTTTTTTGTATTAAGGTTACGTTCGACCCTGCTCGAACAACACCTATCGGCCCTCGGCCATAACTAAAAAAACGGTTATGTTCGACCCTGCTCGAACAAACACCTACCGGCCTTCAACCTCTACTTAACAAAAGGTTATGTTCGACCTCGCTCGAACAAACACCCACAGGCCCTCGATCGCGATTTAAAAAAATGTTATGTCGACCCCGCTCTAACAAACACTTACCGTCCCTCGGCCGCGATTTAACGAAAAGTTTTGATTAGGCTCGAACAAACACCTTACGGCCCTCGGCCACGATTCAACGAAAGGTTATGTTCCATTAGGCTCGAACAAACACCTACCGGACCTCGAACGCGACTTAACAAAAGGTTATGTTCGACTAAGCTTGAACAAACACCTACCGGCCCTCGACCGCGATTTAACAAAAGGTTATGTTCGACCCCGCTCGAACAAACACCTATCATCCCTCGGCCACACCTCAACGAGGAAACGCATGCGACCTATGAATATTCGGCTCCAATGCCAAAGAAAGCTAAAAAACAACAACAATAAGGACAAAAAGCAAAACGAGCAAACAACAGAAGCAAAACACATACAAGTTCAGAATATAAACCATAGGAACAGAATAAGATGCAAGGAATAACTTTGATATTTCATACTTAAACTGTTTACTGGTCACCGCCATCACGGCCTTTAGTTGAGTCACCACCCTGACCACTGATACCCTCACTATCTCGATCCCCCTCATCATCATCATTGCCACCTTCGTCCTTCGGATAAGCGGTATCATACCAAGCGTGCTCCTAAAGCCGGTTTACAACCTCGTCCCCATCCTCCTCATCGGCCTCAGGCGTAGCGGGATCATATCCACAAGCGACTCGAGCTTCACAAGCCTTAACACGAGCATATTCAAGGGCAACCTTAGAAACGGATCCCGCTGCATACAAATCTCGAAATACATCCAACTGGGCCTCGACATGAATCCATTCTTCATATAACTCTTGAGGTACATTGGGAAAATCTAAAATACTGGAAGAGGACAACTGCCCAAGTAATTTGGCCTTCTCAGCCTCCAA